GTAGAGCCTGACGGGAGGTGAAAACAGAGAGCATGGAGAACTAAGAATAGAAGTATTGGATTATCAGCAAAATCAATATGACAGTAATGACAGTTGAACTGAACTCACCAAGAGGATGTCAGCCACAATGGCCCAGTTTAAAGATAAAAAAAATACCGCAAGGGCAATAAGAATCTGAAATATTAAAGAAGACAGAGAGAAAGAACATCATGAGTTGATTGGAAGGACAATGGCATGCCCATATTTATCCATTCCAAGCTGCCATATCCCCTGGCCATACTTTTAGCTGAATGTATACCGAATGCTGAAATCATAACATTTTGTTTGTTTTAGCAATCTTCCCTGTCCTTTCCCTCACAACCTTGAGGGCTCAAATCATTAAATGCTAAATATTTCAAGGTGCCCATCAAAGCAGTAGATTCTCTGTGGTCAATGACTGAACTTTAAAACAGTTTATCAACTAGCTGACATACTCTAGAAGCATGGGACTCTTGATTCCATAATTTCCAGCCTTTTCTGGGGAGTAATATGAGGGTAAATACAGTATAAAAGCTGGGGCTTCTTTAACATGAAAACAAAAGTCATCCATTAAATATATGGATTCTTTGGTCACTTACATATGCAGCTACAATACTCTTCTCAGCCAGCATAATAGCCAAATACATGCAGGGAGATGAACTGAACAAGCCTACTGCACAGATAAGAGGGTCAGCCTTGGTGTTAACCTTCTTGTATCTTCGGGCAGCTTCTGCTCCAATGACGACCCCCAAAATGCCAGTTGCTATGGTGATCCCTCCAAATATCTCACTAGTGACCAAGCAAAAATGCAACATTTTTATCAACAGCATTCATTAAATATTGGTGTAGAAATTTTGATATGGAAATCTAAAAAATTACTAAATGAGAGAAAGTGAGGGGGGGGGGAGGGGGGGAAGGAGAGAGGGAGATATGATAGGTAAATTTTAGGGTGCAACTCCATTCAGCCCAGCCAGCTAGGGAGGTTGGGAAATAGCATCCAAACTACATAAAGGCATATCATATTTGGGAAGGCTGCCATAAAACAAGAAAGACTTTATCGTTTTTTCAGGACCTTGTAGCAGCCATTCCTTTTTTTTTCTTTTTCTTTCTTTTCTTTGAAAGAAATCATGGTGATTCACTCAAGGCTATGCCTACTTTGCACCCCCTCCAGCCCCCATGCTAGACGAGTGTTGCAGAGGTAATATTTTGTCAGTTGTAATATGGATACTAAAATATGCCCAGTTCCATTTTGCTCTTGCTACAGAAGTTTCCTTAGGCAGGTTTCCGGATCATTGTGTCATTTGAACTTGAAGCAGCAGCATATTAGTTAATCTGAAGCCTGCTATCCTAATCAACAATAAACTTATCAGAATATAGCAGAATAACAGAATTGGAAGGGACCTTAGAGATCATCTAATCCAACCCCCTGCTCAAGCAGGAAACCCAATACCATTCTAGACAAACTATCCAGTCTCTTCTTAAAAGCCTTCAGTGATGGAGCATCCACAACATCTGAAGGCAATCCATTCCTCTGGGTAATAGTTCTCCCTTAAATCAGTTCACTTAAATAGCTCACTTAAGATACTCTAATCTGGTAACTGTTTCAGATTTGAACAATATGCTAAAGTTGTAATTTCATTTAAACACTGAAATTGATGGGGATAAAGGCTCAATTTATATTGCATTGACTAATCAAGATTTGTGAATAATCTTGCCCAGCAAACCCAGCCAATAATTTTAACAGAAAAATCCCAGCTGCCAGAATATATCTGGAGCTATCCAAGGTCCTGTTTCTTGCCTTGCCTTGTATTCTCATCACTTGGACTTTGCCACAAAGTCTGCTTTCCTTTGACTTCCTTGCTATGCTTAGGACTTTTTCTATCATTTCAAATAGCCAGCAAAACTAGAGGAAATCCACACATCTTTCCAGGCAACTTCTACAATCTCCATTTGTTTTTCAGGGTTTTTCAAGTGTGGCGGCTAAAGGCTGGGCTGGAAACTGGGAGATTGTGAATTCTAGTGTGTGTCCCCCCCCCCCCCCGACATAATAATCATCTGGGTGACTTTGGCTCCTCTTCCTCTCTCAACCCAACTCACCTCACAAGATGCTGGTATGGGGAAACAAGAAGTGGTAACATCATGATGTGTGCCATCTTGTTGGCCAAAAATAAAGACAGGATAAAAAAATTAAATAAGTAAGCATTTAAGACAAGCCTTTGCCTTACCTGTTGTGGTTTTTACATGGTTGTTTGCTGCATGGTTGTATAATACCCAAAACAACCTCAGCTCTGTAAAGGAACACAGGAATCCAGAAACCGAGAGCGCCAGTGATGAAACCCATGGAAGTTACACCCAGCGAGGATCCTATAAAGCTCCAGCTGGGAGACAGAGAAAAGTTGGCATGGATGAAGAAGTGATGGAGAAAGAAGTTCTGTGGTCAAGATGTAAGACAAAAAGATGTTCTACAGCTCCCTCAAGTGGCCACCTGTTAAAATAGCTACACAGGTACCCGGTTTGCTTCTCACCCAGATTTAAACTATTGGTATGAAGGCCACCAAGAACTTGAGGCAGATTTCCTGAGAGATATTCATTTGTAACAATGAATTGCAGCATTTACTACTCTACTTATTTTTTTAAAGCCATAATTGGCCGAGTACTGAATTTTAAATGAGAAAGAGGGAGCCCTTTCTTGGCCTCAGTGGAATAATTATTCTTCAAACACAAGAAGACATGCTGTAGTGGCCTCACTGGGGTTTGAGGCTGAATATTTTCAGCCCTTTGGATTGGTTTTGCTTGGGGAAGAATGGATTACAGAATTGAAATTATATATTTTGCCTTGCAGAGGCTTAATATTCTATTAATATTATTAGTAAAATTTTATTATTTTAGCAAAGTTTTATGAAAATCATATTGCCAAAACCTGGCCATTTGTTGATCAGTCCTCCTGATGCAATCTTGTATGAATTGCAAATTGGGGGTCCAGGGGCTATGTGTTGCAAAAAAAATTTGGGGGGGCTCCATACAGCATAGTAACTACAACATAAAAATGGTTTGCAAAAAATAAATGTTCATCATGCTAACTAAATCATGTTAAGGCCTGTCAAATCAGTTGCAGTCTTCTTTCGCATAAATGTAGCTACAGTAGTTGATAGTACTATTAAGGCCCCCCTGGTTCTATGGACTTTCCTTAAGGAACAACTAGATGTTTTTGTCCCAAGGTCCACTGTGCAAATACCTTTCTCCTAGAAACACAAATTGATTGCAGATAGAAAAAAGTTTTATTTTAGTTCACCTTGACACCAGACATCTCCTGATGGTGCAGTTCCATGAAACTAATATAATTTTGTTTAACTCAATCAATAAAGGCATTTAAAATAAAATAAAATGCAAACATATCTTGTTTTTCAACAGCTGGCCAGTACCACATCTGCTGAATGATCAAGAACAATCAGAGCCCCTGAAGAGAAGCTTGAAAACAGGCAAGCACTTTACTTGGTTAGAGTTTTCCCATAATGATGAAATATATCTCTATTTAAATATAGGATCTGCATTTGCAAATATGCCTCTTTTTGTAAAAAAAATAAATAAATCAACACATGCCATTTTTATTCCAAAGTGTCTGCGGGGCACATTTTGGGCGGAGTAAATAGTCATTCTAGAATATGGCTGCATTTACAGAACACATTCAGTCGAGCTTCGTAAAGCACAAGGGCTGTATTCACCCGGCATGTTGGGCTTGGTTAAATTTGATCTTGCTTGGCTTCTATAGGGCGAGGTGTGCTGTGCAAACTTAACCTATTAGGAGTCTGGGAAAGGCATAAGGGGACAACTGATGTGTCACGATGCCGTGATGTGACTTACATATTTATGCAACACATTGTGACACGAGTACTAAATTGTGGCCGTTGCATAATGACATTGTGATGGATATGGCATTTTGAAGTCCATGAAGCTGCTGCATTAAATCAAGGTCAGAAAAATTAGTTAAATTAGTCATCATCTGAAGCGGATTCAGTGGATAGATTCAGTAAGGATTTTAGAGCATTTTGAGTACATGCTTTCTGATAATAAGGATTTCAGAAGCCAAATATCTATGAAGCTGCAGAACAAATACGGTAGACTTAAAGCACTATAACAGAATTATGGCAATAAGTTTACCTTTTCCAGAGCATTATTTTTTCAGATTTAGCTATTGCCTTCCTGGTTAAGAACCCGGAGAGTTGCAGTCCTAACAAATCCAGAAGATTTGTTGAGAAAAGGGTGTCTAAAGAATTTCTTGCAGGATAAAGCGAGAAAAGGGTGTCTAAAGAATTTCTTGCAGGATAAAGCATACAACCAGGAAAATAAAAAAGATTTCTACAAGCCAACATCTCCCTCTAGTGTCTGCAAATAATAACTGGCCATACTATTAAAAAGATAGATTTGGGGTGCCTTAGTGATAAGCAGATACTACATGTGTTCCCGTACATGCATGTTCTGCTACATAGGAGGAAACAAACCTGTAAGCAATGGGGCCACAGGTACCAACAAAGGCAACAAACAATAACATAATGGCTAGAAACTTGAAGGGCTGTTATGCAAGAACAGGAAAAGAAATACTTTACTTTTTGCAAAGAGAAGAAATGTCTTTGAACCAGGTTGAGGATCTGGTACGCTTGCCAGGTTTGAGTTTCTTGTTCGTTGGTTTAGGGATTAAAATAATCAGGAGAATCAAGCCTGTAATTCCCATAAAAGGAGTAACCTACAGAGACAGAAGCAACAGTGGTGTCAGCAAGGACCGTTATAAGCAGCTGAAGAACCATTACTTGTTTATTTTAGCATATGATGAGAACATGACAAAGAGAAGTAAACATGTGCACACAATCCACATAATTCTATACAAAACTAGCCTGGGACTTTGGCAGTCACTTCATAGCTGCATGTCGTATTCCACCATCCAGAGAAACACTTCTGGTGTTGCTACGTGCAAATCTTCTAGGAAACCAGAGAATGCACGGTGCTGGGCAATCTTGCACAATATGTTTAATAGTTTGCATATCAGCACCACCATCGCAACAAGGGGAATCTTTCTATTCCCATTGGTACAGGATAAAGGCACTTCTTCCAGTATTGCATTTAATTTTGTTCATAATCACAAGAAACTTACACAGTGAAGCAACTGCTTTACGTGGCCAGTTGAACAGCACGGCAGACTGGAGATGAACCTTACATATGTTCCCCTGACCTCTTCTCCAGAGAAGTTCCCCACTCCGTCCATCATTCAAAGAAAGCCTTCAGATGCCATGCATAGTGATAAAGCCTGCCCACAATTTTCTGCCGTGGCCACATCATTATTCTGAGGAGCCTTTAGAGCAGTGCTTATCATCAGATGGCTCATTTCCCTTTCCCTCTTCTAAATTATCGTTTGGTTTTTATAGTTTATACAAATAATTAAATAGCTAAAATAAATATATAAACATACAAACACACAGTGTGTGTCTGAATGGATGGATAGTAGATAGATAGATAGATAGATAGATAGATAGATAGATAGATAGATAGATAGATAGACAGATAGATAGACAGACAAGAGAGAGGAGAGATAAATAGGAGATAATGGAGATAGATGATAGAAAGAAAGACAGACAGACAGAAGAGAGATAGATAGATAGATAGATAGATAGATAGATAGATAGATAGATAGATAGATAGATGATGGATGATGGATGGATGGACAGACAGACGAGAGGAGAGATAAATAGGAGATAATAGAGATAGAAGATAGAAAGATAGATAGACAGACAGAAGAGAGAGAGATAAATAGATGATAGATAGATAGATAGATAGATAGATAGATAGATAGATAGATAGATAGATAGATAGATAAATAGATAGATAAAATAGATTAGAGAGAGAAACAGGGAGAGATCACACACATAGGCAAAAATGTGAACATTGCAGAACTATGTCACCATCTTTGTGTACATGATTTCTTTTTCAACGTTTTCTTAAAACCAGCTGAAAGAGAAGGTAGAAGTTACACTACTAACAGATTGACAGAACCCCACCGTTTTAAACCAGGGGGATTCTCTTAAAGATAGAGCTGGCCAGCCAAGACTCACCCTGAAGCCCCAGCCCCAAAAACCGCTTGCACGCGCCACTCCAGATGACAGGATATAACCGAGTCCACTGCAAGAGAGGAAAAATCCAAGTTGAAAGAGGCCCTTAAAGCTGCAGAGTTCAACTTCCTGTGTTGTGCAGGTATCCTCCTTCCTGTCATTTCAACCCGTTATTTACATGCTACATTTTGGAGGGAGCTAAAAATGATTTTAACTGAGATCTCTGAATTGATATGTACTGGTAGTTCTTGACTTACGGCCACAATCGAGCCCAATATTTATGTTGTTAAATAAGATAGTGGTTACGTGAATTTTGCCCCATGTTATCACAGTTGAATCACTGCAGTGGTTAAGTTAGTAACATGGTCATTAAATAAATCTGGCTTCCCCACTGACTTTGTTCCTCAGAAGGTCACAAAGTGTGATCACATGTCCCCAGGACAGTACAATTATCCTAAATACGAGCCAGTTGCCAAGCATCCAAATTTTGATTACATGACCAGGAAGATGCTACTGTATAATGGTTGTAAGCGTGTGGAAAAAAAATGTTCAATGCCATTGTAACTTCGAATGGTCACTAAACAAATAGTTGTAACTTGAGGACTACCTGTATTGAGAGAAAGACTGTGGATTCCTTAAGTTACCCCCAGAAGATCCTTCCTTCACAGGAATCAAAGTTCAATGATGGGAGGATAGATCTCCAGCTCAATGCCTGATAACAGCCTATCCATTTTCACCATCCCCACCCCCTCATCCTGTGGTGGCACAATGGTTAGAGTGCAGTGACGCAGGACTAACTCACTGCTCACTCTGGCTGTTCGATCCTGAGTGGGTTCAAGGTTGCCTTAGCCTTCCACCCTTCCGAGGTAGGTAAAATGAGAACCCAGATTGTTGTGGGCAATAAGGCTGACTCTGTAAACCGCTTAGAAAGGGCTGTGAAGTGGTATATAACTCTAAGTGCTATTGCTATCCCATTAATTTTGAACCCAAGAACCCATTCCTTACAATTCACCCCACTCCAGAGGTGCTATTCAGCAGGTTCTGACCGGTAGCAGAAATTTTGAGTATTTCGGAGAACCAGCAAATACCACCTCTGACTGGAGATTTTACAGTATCCTTCCCCTGCCATGCCCACCAAGCCTTGCCCACAGAACCAGTAGTAAAAAAAATTGAATCCCACCACTGCCCCACTCCCCCAAGGAATCCTATATAAGAAGAGACCATGGATAGTTGCTGTCCCTTGGTTTAGGTTGCAATGAGATAAAATCAAAGTTTGAATATTTCGGATGATGCTTTGAACTCTTGCATGAGAAGCAGGATATCAATACGATTCATACGGATATATCTACTAATTGTAGGTTCAATCTTTGAGCATGGTTAGATCTACCTTCCAACAGGTATGAAGATGTAGAAGACTGACAACATCCATGTCCGATAGTCTTTCTCAAACAAGTCAGCAATGATGGTAGGTGCTATGGTGGAAAAACTGGAGGTACCAACACCCACCAGTCCCCGTGAAATAAAAAACAGCCAGGGCATCTAGATGAGAATTTGGAAAGGGCACATTCAGTCACGCCCACCAAGATCTAGTATAATGTTTTAAAATTTTAATTGAAATCATTTTCTTATGGATGCACACTGATCTATATCTATTCTCTATGTGTTCTTTCCCTATTCTATTCAATCATGTTTCTATATTAAACTCTGGTTAACAGGTGTGGGGAAGATTGTGCAAAAATCCATATAATTTTTGCATCTATTAGACTATTCTTTCCTGAAAGAAAAGGGAGAGGTTAAGTAGTAAAATGTGGTTTTTGATTCTTTCACCCTTGGAAAATAGAGCCAAAAATGTTGACCAATCCCTTAAAAATTACTGTCCCCCAGGGATGAAAAAAAGTTGCCTAATTCTAAAAAGTTGGTGGGGGGGGGGAAATAGAAGAAATTGAAATTAGGCAATCTTTAGAATAATGAGCAATTGTTCTGCAAAAGAAGTGGCAGTTTTTTGTTGTGAAATTACTCTCTTTCAATCATAAAGTATGGTCAGTACAAAAAGAAATATATTTATATATATATATATAACACTTTGGAAAACATTTAGTGAAAGTTTGTAATCACTGCCATGTTGCTAAAAAAGCTATTCAAAGGGTGGAACACTAAACTCATATAGTTTGGGTTTGTCCTACTATTTTGACCTGAAACTGAAGTTGTTAACATGACTTTAAGCAGTTCCTGTTTGTCAGAAATGTATAAGTTCCTTCTTACTTGTGACCTGAATAATTTAAACCAGAAATATGTTTTATTTCTAGAGACCCATACAATAATGCACTATAAAGAATCCAATATAAAATAAAAATAGCAAATTAATACCAGAGTGCTTTAGAATTTAAATACACAAGCAGTTCCTAAGCACCACTAAATATTATGAAAACTTAAAGTGGTACTTAAGATCCAGCTATTATATCTGCTACAATCAATGGCCTAATGCAATGTGAGAATCCAATCTATATTATAAATAAATGGGCAGATTATACATTTGGAAATTCAAGATAAGAAAATATCCTTTGAAAATGCATATTTTAAGACACAACATATATTAGAAGATGCATTAGATGCTATTTACATGCCCATTTTCATGATTTCATTAATGGACTTGAGTGCAAATTTTAAAAAATGGATTTATGGGTAAATATGTGCAAAAGTGACAGGGCCAAGAAACAAGGATAAGGAAGGACTGGACAGCTAATTTTGCTACTTGAATGCTTCTTCCAAGAAAGCTGCTGTGTATTTCAAATCCCATTTTAATTATTAATTAAATTTTTGGGGAGCATAATATATACTGCATCTTGATTTCTGCAGGAAAGACACTATGGAAATTTAACAAATTATTATCATTTGTATCAACCACACACCTCACAAGATTTTGGAAATCTTAGGTGAAGACATTGAAATCTTCATTGAAATGTGTTTCTGCATAGAATTTGGCAATGTGGTAAGAGTTTTCCAGCCATCTTATTGCTGACCTTGATATATGCACTCTATGATCTCTAAATATTTAAACAGACTGACACTAGGACAAAGATTTGATCCAGCATGGAGCAGAGAGGAATGCACCAAAGCAAATAATCTCTCTTACCGAAGCAGGGATGAAGGAACTACAAAAGGTAACTGTTGACCAGAAGGATATTCCAATGCTGAGGATGATTTTCTGATTGTATCGGTCCCCAAGATATCCAAAAACAGGAGCCGAGAACAAGAAACAGAGAATGAAAACTGCCATGAAAAGAAAGGAGAGTAATGATGAACAACCTGACTTGACTTTAAATACACCTATCATTTTATCTAATTATTTAGGAAATTTATATTGCCACCTATTCGCACATGGCAATTCAGGGTGACTTACAGGAATATAAAACCTCATATATTAAAAAAATAAAACTAATAAAAAAGAATAATCACATAATAAATTAATAAAATAATATAACCCCCCCGCCCCCACCCCTTGCCCTGGTGACAACACACCAAGCCCACTGGCAGAACCAGGTCTTCAGCACCTTCTGGAAGAGTGTTAGAGTGGGAGCTATTCTAATCTCTGGAGGAATGATGTTCCAGAGAGAGGGAGCCACCACGGAGAAGGCCCTTCTTCTGGGTCCCACCAGGTGTAGGGGATGGGACCCGCAAAATTCCTTGCCTTCCTGCTCTGATGGGTTGGATAGATGTGACCGGCAAGAGACGTTCCCTCAGATATCTGGTCCCAAACCATGAAAGACTTTAAAGGTGACAACCGGCACCTTGAATTGCACCCGGAAGCAAATCGGAAACCAATGCAGCTCCCGCAGGAGAGGTAATAAATCTGCACACCAAGATCTGCACAAAACCATGCAGGCTGCTGCATTTTGCACCACTGGAGCTTCCGGATGCTCTTCAAGGTGTATTCGTCATCTCACACTAGATTTATTACAGTCTGTTTCACCTGGAATTATCCTGGAAGATGAGATAGATGCTACTGTTGTTGAAGAACACAGCTAAGTGGAATCCCATGAAAATTCCAGCTAAGTGGAATCCCATAATGTCAATACTTAAGGTGCTCCACTGGCAACTGTGAATTGTTGGATCCTCTTCAAATTGTTAACATGAAAAAGCAAGTCCCCAAAAGGCTTAGGATCCTGGGACACAAAAGAACATTTCTTATAGTAAAACATAATCTGCAATAAAATGCCCATGCTTGTAGTCTTATCTACTTAACTGAGCCACAGTGGTGCAGTGGTTAGAGTGCAGTACTGCAGGCTACTTCTGCTGCCTGCTGGCTGCCTGCAAGTTCAAATCTCACCAGACTCAAAGTTGCCTCAGCCTTCCATCCTGCTGAGGTGGGTAAAATGAGGATCCAGATTGTTAGGGGAAATAGGCTGACTCTAAACTGCTTAGAGACGGCTGTAAAGCGGTATATAAGTCTAAGTGCTGTTGCTATAACTGGCATGGAAAATGACAAGAAAAGGGCCTTTTGGTAGCATCACATTAATACAAAACTCCCTTCTGGGAAATCACTGTTGGCTTCTAAGTACTACTAAATACTAAGTAATATTGAGGACTAGGTAATACTTCCTACTAAGCTGCACTTTTATCATATATACAGGTAGTCCTCAATTCACAACAATTCATTTAGTGACCGTTTGAAGTTACATCGGCACTGAAACAGATGGCTTATTACCCTTTTTCACAGTTATGGCCATTGCAACATCCCCATGGTCATGTCATCAAAATTTAGATGCTTGGCAACTGACTCATATTTATGATGGTTGCGGTGTCCCAGGTCATGTGACTTTCTGACAAGCAAACTCAAGGGGTATAAGCCAGATTCACTTAACAACCGTTTTAGTAATTTACCAATTGCACTGATTCACTTAACAACTGTGGCAAGAAAGGTTGTAAAATGGGGCAAGACACACTTAACAAATGTCTCACTTAGCAATAGAAATTTTGGTCTCAATTGTGGTCATAAGTTGAGGCTACCTGTATTGATATGATACATAGATATATGGATAGAGAGATAGATAGTAAGGCAGACACACAGACAGACACACAGACAGATGGCAGCCCTGAAGTGCCAAGGGGCCTGTTGCTGGGACCCTAACAATAGATAAATATAGATGATATAGATATAGAGATAGATATATGATTGCAGATACTATTAGTATAGCTGTTCTAACACAAATAGCTTTAGGTCTACAGGGCAACTGTTCCTTCTATAGAGCTGTCTCTCTTGGAAAATTGAGAGAATGATGACAGGAAGTCCAAGACTGTTGAGATTTGATCCTCGCTAATAGATTATTGGTAGTCATAATTTTGAGGATGAGACATGAGTAGCATTTTGGAAGTCCAACATAACTTCAAGTGGTCATTAAGTGACCTGTTGTAAGTTGAGGATTATTTGTATGCATGCATTCAGTTCAGCAGATATCTTTCTTTATTTTAAATCCACTTTATGGCTATTTAAAGTACTCCATGGTCATGTGACTGTGATTTTGGGTTTTTTTTTTGACATTTTTTGCCTGTTTCTGAAGTTTACTTCTGGTTTCCAGCAAAAAAATAAAGTCAATTGAGGAATTCATTTAATGACTGTCACGTTCAACTGCTGCGAAAAATGTAATAAAATCAGGTACGTTACATGATAACCCTCTTAATGACCGCCATGATTTACAATTATAATTCTGGTGTCTATTATTGTTGTAAGTCAAGCAATCATAGCAATCCAATATGTCAAGAGAGTTATAATCCAAGCCATCCATTTTTTTAATGTGGGAAATATGGAAAGGAATGGCAAAATGAAGAATAATGTGATAAAATAGCATCATTCATAATCACAAAGGCCCTAAGTTTAGAAAGGTTAGCCACCACAACTTCTCTTGAAAAGCACAGGATATGAAATTAGGTCCCAAATTCTGTTTCCTGTCAACATTTATAGGTTTTTTTTTAATTTCCAAAGCAGAATGGGTGAGAAATTGCACCGTTTGTTTTAAATATACATAGAGAGCTTCCCTATATGAGTCATATCATAGAACCAGTTTAGAACTACCCTAGGCATAATAATGGAAAAAATTAATAAAAAAGACAACTATATTATGTTACATATCTTAACAGCTGCTAGGATTTCCTATGCACAATTTTGGAAGCAGGAAAATGTACCATCAGAGGGTGTTGTCATAAAAAAATCTTAGACTGTGCAGAGATGGACAGGCTAACAATGAAATTAAGAGATAAAGAAGAGTCGATATATTATAAATGTCTGGGATGCCCGATATGAATGGTGTAAGAATAAAAAGAAATCAAAATGGCAATTAGGTAAAGAATGAGAAACTATGTAAATACCTGTATCTATACTCATATCTATTTATATGTATTTATATATTAATTTGAAATTGAATGATGAAAGAAATATGTAATGGTAATGGAATTGTAAAACATATATATATATATACCCGATATATATGGTATTCAGCTTTGCTCGGGTAATTTTCCCACGTCATTGTAGTTGTGCTTTTAAAGTTGTAGCAACGTTCCGGCAGAATCTCATCTGCCATCATCAGGCTTCTGTATTGTTACATTACACAGTACAGATACAATACATTACACAATACAATACATTACATTACACAATACAATACAATACATTACACAATACAGAAGCCTGATGATGGCAGATGAGATTCTGCCGAAATGTTGCTACAACTTTAAAAGCACAACTACAATGACGTGTGAAAATACCCAAGCAAAGCTGAATACCATATATGTAAGTACCCGTGAAAACTTAAGAAAATATATATATGATAAGGAAATATAAAAGTCTTGATGTTAGTATAATGACGTATAAAGTTTTATTCTATGTTTTTAAATTTTGAAAATTGAATAAAGTATTTTTTTTTTTAAAAAAGAACTTTTGACTCTAGCTGTTGACCTGGCTTTAAATTAGAAGTTCCAAGCACAGGATGATGTAGCACAGGTTTCTTAGGTGTCATTAAACTACAACTCCCAACCATTGGCCATATTGTCTAGGGACGTATGGATGCTTACTGAACACCATTTAGAGGGCTGTGTGTACCCTTCCCTGCCTCATTGGAGCCATCTAGATTTTTTTTTGATGGCTCTCTATGACAAGAGGAATCTGAAAATTAGATTTTGGGTGGTTATATTGGCAGATCATTGCTTTTTTTTAATTTAAGTTTTTATTGGTTTTTAAAAACAGATCATTGCTCTTTAGCTTGGATAATAACCTTTAAGCTTCTTCAAGGTATCCACCTTCATCCTCTTGCTATATATCATTGATACCATATATTATAACATAATAACAGAGTTGGAAGGGACTTTGGAGATCTTCTGGTTCAACCCTTTCCACAAGCAGGAAATCCTATACCATTTCAGACAAATGGTTGTCCAATCTCTTTTTATAACCTCCAGTGTTAAAGCACCCACAATTTCAGGAGGCAAGCTGTTCCACTGATGAATTGTTCTAACTATCAGGAAATTTCTCATTAGTTCTAAGTTGGTTCTCTCCTTGATTAGTTTCCCTCCATTGCTACTTTACCTGCCTTCACGTGCTTTGGAGAATAGGTTGACTCCCTGTACTTTGTGGCAGCCCCTGAGATATCGGAAGACTGCTATCTTGTCACCCCTAGTCTTTCTTTTCATCCAACTAGGCATACCCAATTCTAGAAACCTTTCTTTATATGTTTTAGCCTCCAGTCCCCTAATCATCTTTGTTGCTCTTCTCTGCAGTCTTTCTAGACTTTCAACTTCTTTTTTTATATAGTGGCGATCAAAACCTATCTTACAAATGGGTTGAGAATTCAACTCCCAGAATTCCCAACACGGAAAGCCATGAATTCTGAGCTTTGTCATCTCAATATATCTAGAAGACCTGCCAGCGAAATCTGCTCTAACTATTGTGTTACATTGGCTTCCATTGCCCCTACATTTAAATGTCCCTGTTTGTTTTCCTCATTATTTTGCAAATTAAAAGCACAGTAGTAAGTAATTTACTTTCAGAATATATTTACCAACTAAACCAGGGGTGTCAAATTCAAAGCCTGAGGGCCAGATCTGGCCCATGGGGTGTTTAGATCTGGCTTGCGGAGCCATCCTGGAAACAGCGAAGGACTGGCCTGCGGTGCCTCTGCCAGCGAAAACGGAGCTGCAGCATTGCAGCTCTGTTTTCACTGGCAGAGGGTTGCAGGAGGTGGTCACAGTCAAAAATGGAGCTCAGGAACCCATTTTTTGTTGGCAGAGTCTTCAGGGCACCACAGGCACACCTGACTTGAGTGATGACAGTGAAAATGAAGTTCAGGGGGTACTCAGAGCCCCCCCACACCCCGTTTTTGGTCACAACGGCATCCCAAGCTCAGTTTTTGCTGGCAGAGGGCTATCAAAACAAACTAAAAACAAAACAAAAGGAGAAATGTTTCCCCTTTTGCATTTGAGTATGAAAGAAGGGACAGAAAAGGAGAAAGGGAAAGAGGAAAGACAAAGGAGTCCCATGGCCACCTCCACCATGGCCACATCTACCCCTGGCCCTCCGAGGTCAAAAACCACCCTGATGCGACCCTCAATGAAATTGAATTTGATACCCCTGGACTAAACCAAAAGATTAAGATAAATTATTAATCCTGGAAGAGAGAATTGTTTTACCAGTGTGTAACAGGCCCGCAGTCTGGTCTGTAAGATTAAAATATTTCTGTATGTCCAGAAGGACTCCTGAAACAAAATGATATGGAATAGATTAATTCATGAAGTTATTGTCCTATCCTGACCCCAGGATTTTCACAACAAACAAGCAGTAAGCACCTGATTCTTTTCCCAGGTTATGGTGACTGGTCCTTTTTCTGTGTATTGTAAGCACCTGTATTGTTCCCTAGATTCACCATCTTGTTTACTGTTTTTGATATACATTATACATTTTTATCTTATTCTTATACTTTGACCCACTGGAAGCCAGAAACAGGCCTGTTTTGCGACTTCTGTTTTGCGACTTCCTCTGGGAGCTGGGGTGGGCATGGCCAGGGTGGGCGTGGCCAGTTTGATGTCACTTATGTTGGGGGAGGCTGTGGTGGCCCAAGTGCTCTGACTGTGAAAATGGGTTCAAGAGCTCCATTTTCAGCTGCCACGGGCTCTTGCAATCCTCTGCCAGTGTGGCCCTCCCAAGCTCTGTTTTCTCTGGCAGAAGCACCATGGGCCAGTCCTTCGCTGTTTCCAGGGTGGCCCCACAGGCCAGATCTAAGTACCCCACCAGTTGGATCTGGGCCCCGGTGCTTGAGTTTGACACCCTTGCTTTAACTAGATGCTTTAGCTAGACTAGATGATCAAACCCATTATTCCAACATTTATTCTATCATCTCCATTTAGGGCAATTGGGGCATTGAGCTTTAGCCCATGAAAACTGATATGAAAATAGCTCAAAATAATTGTACTTTTTTTTTCTTATTGCAACAAGAAAATGTAGATAGTGCTATGCTTCACTAAGCATATTCCTCATTCCTCATCCCCATTTTTCCTTCTAGTTCTTATCCAATTTAATGAGAAATTGCTTTCAATTTTTCCTTTAAGAGAGTATTTTAATTATATTCTGATGATAGTGGAATTCTTACTTTTACTACTTAGTTATGAAGTGATTGAGAGAGGTGTTTGAATGGTCCAATTATCATTGTACAATGGTTCTCCAAAAATCTTTAGCCTCCCTGTAACATCTAGTTCATCCCAAGGCAGCATCTCAAGAAACAACTGTTCCCATAGGGGCATTTCATAGTAGGAAGAATGAATAAACAGAGAGGCTGCAGAGAGATGGAAGTGTTTGTTACAGCAACTCAAAAACATCACTGAGAAATTCTCAGGGATCTGGAGAGTACAGTCAGAAAAACATTTTTTTTTGTACAGACAAAAATATTGTTGTTGTTATTATTATAATTATGAATCATCACACAGCCAGATGTTCAGATTGGGTTTGGCATTTTTGTGTACCTATCAAGTCCTTACCAAGGACATGGGATAGGCAGATCTGGATGTTTGATGGTGTTAGAGATATCGCCGCAGGATGGGAGCTGTTCCCAGTAAAGCTGCCTTCTGCAATTGACTGATGGCAAATTTGTCAACGCCTATGGTGTTCAAATAATAATAATAATAATAATAATAATAATAATAATAATAATAATAATAATAATAATAATAATACTCATCATCAACTTGTACATCCTTTTTTGATAGCCTCGTTTTTCTGGTTCTGCTTTGTAGTAGCATTTCATTACAGTGCGGTTCTCTGACATGGTGTATTTCTGCCGATTCTGAGGTTGTTCAGCTTCCAGTAGCCCTGCAGACCCACGCCCTGGTTGCTCAGCTTTGGAACCCGTGGCCTGTAGCCCATTTGTTGCTGGATGCCCAGGTTCCCCAGCACCCGACGCGGTCCTTGTTAACCCGGGTGATGACTGAGCCGGTATAGGCTTCGTTCGGTTGTGTTTCACCATGATTCATTGCATGGGTTGTTGGGTGCACTCAGTTCTGCTCCTCGGCCTAGACCTCTCTGACATGGTTGGACCTGCTGGTAGTTTGAACTACCACCAGCACAGCTCTCAGCTTCATTGGAACAGTTAAGCCCCCCGCCACACCAAGGCGGCACCCCGTGGGGGAAGTGAAAGCTATGGACTGGTCAACATCAAAAGAGGGATTTTCCAGGGTGATTCTTTATTACCTCTGCTGTTCATCATTGCCATGACCCCCCTGTCAACAATTTTACAGAAAACTAACCTGGGTTATCAAACTGCTAAAAATTCACAGAAAACCTCTCACCTGCTGTACATGGATGATCTGAAGTTATAGGGAAAATCACAAATTGAAATCCAGTCACTGACCAATTCGAATTTTCAGCACTGAAATCAGCATGGAGTTTGGCCTGGACAAACGTGCCACAGTGGCACTGAAGAAAGGGAAGATCATAGAAAGTGACAGAATTGAAATGCCCAATGGACAAGCCATCAAGTGCCACCAACCCGAAGCCTACAAATACCTGGGCATACTGCAGCTGGATAATATCAAGCACGGGCAAGTGAAAAATATGGTCAGCAAAGAATACACACAAAGGGTCAGAAAACTTCTAAAAAGCAAACTGAATGGTGGTAACATCATCAAGGCTATAAATACCTGGGCCATACCTGTCATCAGATATACTGCTAAGATCATAAATTGGACACAGGCAGAGCTGGACAGCTTGGATAAGAAAACAAGAAAACTGATGACCATACACTATGCGCTGCATCCATGTAGTGATGTCAACAGGTTATATTTGCCCAGAAAAGCAGGCAGCAGAGGACTTTTGCAAGTGAAGCAGACAGTCGAAGAAGAGAAGCATGCTCTGGCAGATTACGTGAAAGACAGTGTTGAACCAGCTTTGATGGAGGTCAACAAGAGAAAGCTGCTCAAAATTCAGCAAACCAAGAATCAATAGAGAAAAACAGCGATGCAAACTCGGGCTGACAGCTGGTGTAACAAAGCACTGCATGGACAGTTCTTTGAAAAGATCCAAGGAAAACTAGATAAGGAAAAGACCTGGTTATGGCTGACCAACAGAACACTGAAGAAAGAAACAGAAGGCCTGATTCTTGCAGCCCAAGAACAAGCCATCAGAATGAATGTAATCAAAGCCAGAATAGAAAAATCTGCTGATGACCCCAAATGCAGACTCTGCAAAGAAGCGGATGAAACCATTGATCACATACTGAGCTGTTGCAAGACAGTAGCTCAGACTGACTACAAACAATGTCACAACACAGTTGCTCAGATGGTCTATTGGTACTTGTGTCACAACTACCATCTGCCTGTAGCAAAGAAGTGGTGGGATCATAAACCTGAAAAAGTGGTCGATAATGAGCATGCAAAACTACTGTGGGACTTCCGAATATAGACTGACAAAGTTCTGGAACACAATACCCCGCACATCATGATTGTAGAGAAGAAAAAAAGTGTGGATCATCGACATTGCCATACCTGGTGATAGCAGAATCGATGAGAAACAACTTGAAAAAGTCACCAGATATCAGGACTTGAGAATCGAACTGCAGAGACTCTGGCATAAGCCAGTGCAGGTGGTTCCAGTGGTACTGGGCACACTGGGTGCTGTGCCTAAAGACCTAGGCAAGCACTTAAAAACAATTGGCGCTGACAAGATCACCATTGGTCAGCTGCAGAAGGCCACCTTACTGGGATCTGCTCGCATAATCCACCGATACATCAGGCAGTCCTAAACACTAGGGAAGTGTTCGACTAGTGATTTGTGATATGAAACCCAGCATGGTTATCTCATCTGCTGTGTATACTGTCATTTTTGTGTATAATAAACAACTTTATTCATTAAACATGAAACTCAGTCAACTGAACATTTAAATATGTATCACAAATATTATTAACTGGCACTGATGGTTGATACGGGTTGCTGCCAGCATTTTAGGTGTCAATTATTATTATAATCAATTAATAGAATAGAGTAGAATAGAACAGAACATAATAGAATAGAATTCTTTATTGGCCAAGTGTGATTGGACACATGAGGAATTTGTCTTTGTGCAAATGCTCTCAGTATACATAAAAGAACAGATACAATCGTCAAGAGTCAAGAATCATAAAGTACAACACTTATTAATAGTCATAGGGTACAATAAGCATTATTATTATTATTATTATTATTATTATTATTATTATTATTATTATTATTATTAAACTGCAAGAAAGTTTTCAGCCCATCATTAAAGCTACATTCTGGGTGCTATTGCCACAAGGTAATTATTAATGGGATCCAACCTACCTGCTACAAGAAACCAGTCCATGTAATTCACCAGGTTCAGATGGCAAAGTGTAGCAATAGCGATGTAAGCCCTTCTGGTGGGTGGCTGCGACGATCCCTGAGGGGGTTGCTCAGCTGATTCCATGGTTCCATAAGCCTTGACAGAGGCAGGGGATGGAGGCGGCAGGTCTGGGATCACTCCTTCAGCCATCTTCCTCATCAGTACTGCCGATTAGTTGGAGAAAGCCATACCTTGATCCGCACTTCCTTCTCTGTTGCTCTACAAGGAGCTTCAGCTTTGCTCTTGCCTCCAACAGGAGGAACTTAGCTTTGCTCAGTCATTTCCTGTAAAAAGCCATCTGTGTACTGGCCACAGAATTTCCAAGGTTCCCCTCCGTCCAACACGGTCACACGCCAGTGAGAAAAGCAGCCCGCTTCTCTCAAGTGGCTGAGAAGACAAGGTGTTTATCATGGGCATCTCTATTGCAAGGCTAAGCTAAATTGGGATTATAAACCTGCGGAGACAAGCAGAAGAACCCATGTTTAGATGCTGAGCAGATTCGGTTGTAAAAAAGAGCCACATTGAAAGAGGAACTCTAATCGGAGCGAACTGACTTGTGACTTCGGATGGAAGCTGTGTCCTCACAGCCCACTAAACCCACAAACCAGTTGTTCATATATTAACATCTTGTGCAAAGCCAACCCACCTGTCAGCCGATGATTTCTTGGGCTTTGAGAACCTTGAAAATTCAGTTAATTGAATGGGCTATCCATCAGTTAGCCATGACAAAGGGTATTACGTGAACTCAGCCACGACAGGCCTGCAATGGTGCTTGCAAAAAATGAAAAAAAAAGTTACGTGAGCTACTTCAACCCTCATCCAGTGGGACAGTAGGTAAGATCAATTCAAAGCATGAGCCTAGGAAAAGCCAGTTTGATCTAGTGATTAAGGCATTAGGCCTACCAGTTCATGTCCTACCCCTTAGCCATTGAAGCCAGTTGGATGTCTTTTGGCCAATAACTCTCTCTTAACCCAACCCACCTCACTTTTTGGGCTGAACAATTGTTGTTGTTGTGAGTGTTGTTGTTGTGAGGAAAATTGGAGGAGGAAGGTGTGTGGATATGTTTGCCACCTTGAGTTATTTGTAAAAATAATAAAGGCAGAAAATATCTACCTACGTACGTACGTACGTACATACATACATACATACATACATACATACATACATGGCTTGAAACTTTCCTTGCCCTGGATCCCATAGTACAATAGGACTGTCTTTATATATTTTATTTAGTTATTCAATTTCTGTAGCCACCTAGCTTAACCAAGTAACTCTGGTTGGCTTACAATTCTAAAATTCTAAAACAAGTAATTTAAAAAATACTAAATAATACAAGAATCCACAAAATAAATTTATAAAAGCAGCCATGATGGTTAATCAACTAACAGTAAAGCCAAATAATGATGCCCTTAGCACATTCTGAGCCCCAGGCCTGAGTACATAGCCAAATTTTTAAAACTGCAAAACCAATAGGATTGAGGCCATTCTAATCTCTGAGGGGAAAATATTTCAAAAGGCAGCAACTACAATAGAAATTGCTGTTGCCAACTGGGTTTTCTGTCAGCGAGGGGATCTGTCCTTCACTGCACACAGAAGCAGATTATTAATTTAAGAAGTGCAGGATAAGGCTCATAGAGTTTCATCTTAGCTATCTCCCAGCATCTGCCATTTGAAGCAGATTTCTCACTCTGTTAAAAGATAATACTGTCCCTATTTAGTGGTCTTCTTTGAGCCAGTATCTGGAGAGAAATAAGAATTATCTGATAAATATAGTTGTGAACAGAGGTTCTTGCTTAAGTTTAACTGTTGATCAAAATGGTTCCTGTGTCAGGTGGAAAAGAAGGGAGGGGGCCCCACCAGAGACCTAAATATTAAGCAAACTTCCTGAAGTGAAGACCAAAAATTGGCTAATGGTGCTTAACCCTGAACGCTGCTTCCCCAGGGCTAAGGCTCCAAACAGGAAGTCAGAAGAGAATGCAGGCATATATAGTATATAGTATATAGTATATAGAATATAGTATATATTATTAGTATAGCACAGCACAGCACAGCACAGCACAGCACAGCATAGCACAGCACAGCACAGCACAGCACAGCATAGTATAGTATTTTTCAAGCTTGGCTACTTGAAGATGTGTGCCAGGGAACCTAGGGAAGTGAATTAGTTCTTGCTTCTCAAACAGCACAAAATTAGCCCCATGTATGAAGGATATAGCAGTGTTTCTCAGCTTTGGCTACTTGAAGATGTCTTGACCTCAATTCCCAGAATTCCCTCATGAGGGAAGACCCCCCCCCCATCTCCTAGAAGAATGAAATATTTTGAGAAACATTAAAAAAGCAGAATATTATATTTTATTAAACGAGGAATGGAGAAACATGCTCTTGGAGACAGAAAGAGACAGCTCCCACCTTTCTTAATAGCCCCCAGCAGATATTTTTTGCCCATTAAGAAAGACTGGGCCAGCCTACCTATAAAACAAAAGACCTCTCGCTCCAGGATGATGGGGTTAAGACATGATCCCTCAGGAAATAATTGGATTAACCCTCTACCATCTAGCAGCAGAGCTCACCACATTGCACAATCTCCTGGAGACATTGCATCACCTCCAAGCTTCAACCAAACTTAGCCCAGACAACCTACAGAGCCAGCTATAACCCCTACAACAGTCAATAGAATACATTTTCTTGCACAGGAAGAGGAAGTTCAAGTGCGAAGCCCAAGAGAAGGTATAAATACCCCTCATTCTCACCTCCATGTGGTCAGTTACCCAGAATCACACATGCTTGGTGGTTCTGCTTCATCAATAAACCATCTTTCCAATCAGCTTCCATGTTTCCAATGTCTTTCTCCCAGCTTGGAACTGAACCAGATGGATATTTCTCCCAACACTAGAAAGCATATGCATATGCTGATGAGGGAATTCTGGGAGTTGAAGTCCACATATCTTCAAACAGCCAAGTCTGAGAAATACAAAAATAGTACATCCAGCATTTGCCAGTTTTGCTTGGATATCAAGATTGTTCCAATGAGCATCCTTGGCACTCTCTGAACTTGGTTGTTTGGTTGTTTTCTTGCAGAAGTTTCATTATCCAAACCACAAATCATCATCAATTGTAGAACTGATGATGCTCCCTCGCTTGGATAATGAAATATCAGCAAGAAAACAACCGTGTTCAGAGAAAATCAAAGACTCCTCATTTCAACAATCAACTACAAATATTCTTCTTTATCAGGGTGTTCTAAATTTCCAAACTACTGATCCATTCAGTGGTGGGATTAAAATTTTTTTTACTACTGGTTCTGTAGGCATGGCCTGGCTTGGAGGGCATGGCAGGGGAAGGATAGTGTAAAATCTGCATTCCCTCCCCACTCCTGGGGGAAGGTTACTGCAAAATCCCATTCCCTCCCCACCCCACAAACCTGCCCAGCTGTGCAAGGCAACAAAAGAAAACCCAGCCAATCAGCTGGGACTCGGGAGGCAGAGAATAGATGGCGGCGGAGCTAGTCAGAGGTGGTATTTGCCAGTTCTCCAAACTATTCGAAATTTCTGCTATTGGTTCTCCAGAACTGGTCAGAACTTGCTGAATACCACCTCTAATCCAATTCATTTACCAGTGCTTCTCCTTTGGGAAAAAGAAGGGCTCTATTTAGATGGATCTGGTTGAAGCTAAATGTTTAGTTTTATCTGCCAAATGAGCAAATGATAGCAATACTGGAATTGGTCATTTAATCATTTCATTAACAAGATGAAAAGGATATCCTTCACCTTGCTCTTTGTGGGCTAGAATACCAGAGAACGGGGTGGGGAAACAACCCACATCTGGAAGCCTCAAACAAGAAAAGAGTCTTAACTACTGCAAATTGCTCACATAATTTCCTTGAAAAAGTAAAAAATAGATTTTATAAAACACCAGCTTATGCGGTGCAGAAGCCAATGGGCAGCTGCTATTTACTAGCTCAGCAATGCATCATCCATACGGAGCTAAAATACTTATATTAACCCTGGGTAGCCAAAAATATTTCATTAAAATATATATAAATGTTGCCCAAATCTCACTCGAAGAAAATCTTAGAAGATTTTCTGAAAGATTTTGGGAATGAATAAATAAACAGCCTCAAGACAGGTCAACAATTTGGGGAATGAGATCACAATCATCTCATAAATCTTAATCCCTTAAAAGACCTCCTTGAAGTAAGAACAATACTAATCTCTAGTATCTATTAATCCGTGCCCCCCCCCATTTATTTTATATGTTGTGACTCTTCATCTCTAATGAAGGCAGTATCGTGGCTCAGTGGTTAAGATGCTGGGCTTGTCAGCTGGAAAGCTGGCAGCCCAGGTTTGAGACCCAAGTGCCACATGATGGAAGAGAGTTCTAGACCTCACCTGAGCTCCTGACAACCTAGCAGTTCGAAAGCATGCAAATGCGAGTAGATAAATAGGTATCACTTGAGTGAGAAAGTCATGCTGGTGGCCATGGAAATATCTTTGGAAAATGCTGGCTCAATGGCCTTGAAACAGAGATGAATACAGAGGTGGTATTCAGCCGGTTCAGACCAGTTCTGGCATACCGGTAGTGGAAATTTTGAGTAGTTCGGAGAACCGGCAAATGCCACCTCTGGCTGGCCCCCGTCCACCCGCCGCCGCTGTTCCCTGTCCTATATTCCCTTGTTTTTTAGCTCAGCTGATTTGCGCAGCAGAGCAGATTGCCATGCCTCAGCTGAACTAAAAAGCAGCTCAGCTCATCAACACTGACAATGAGGGCGGTCTTTAAGTGCTGCGCGCGCACACACTTATAGAAGCGGTAGGAAAAGAGTTGGAATCCCACCACTGGATGAGTACCATCCCTATGGTTGGCAATGACTAGCAGAATAAAATCTGTGTGTGTGTGTGTGTGTGTGTGGAAATTCCATCTCATATTGAAGTCAATCAAAACAGGTAACATTTCAGGTACTCTACAGTATTTTGTTATGTGAAGTAGAATCCAATACCCAACTCACTGATAGACATCTCCATAGTCACCGAGGTGTCCATAAAAGAGAGTAAAAAATTAAGGTGGTTTATATGTTTGTGTCTGTTTGATTAAGTCTTTGCCTTTTTACACACAAGAACCACAGAATAAGAAAAGGTCATGCATTATTTGGCACTCTGGGTTGGTTCTCATGA